CGCGACCAATTTCAGAGCCGCAAATCGGAAAACTCGTTTGTCTTTATCACCAGCAAATGACGTGTGGCTCTCGGCTTGGGAAACTTTTCTCACACCAATTTAACGCACAGTTTATCAAACATACAAGTTTAGCGTTAACGTTTTCAACATCTTGATTGCACAAGATCAGGCTAACAGGGATTTTGGAATTGTTCTGGCCAATTTTGTTCCCCGTTTCACTCGCGCTGTTAAAAGGAGGATGTTAAAAGAAGGAGGACGTGCCGTCGAAGCACGAAAAGCTCACTCTTTTCAAGAGTCGTTCGCGACGTTAATTCAATCGTCAAGACGCGCGCGGACAAGGTAGTAAAACGATCGGGGGAAGTCCCCGCAAGAGCGGATCGAATACGAATTTCACGATACGCTAGAGTAAGTACCGTTACGCTTCATCGATCGAAACCGATCTCAGAGCCAATATCTCATCCTCGCTTGCGGTCTATTAGATTTCTACGGCTTCCGAGGGGTCACCGTCTCCTCCCCCCCCCTCCTCTGCTCACGCCGCTTCTCCTCCTTTTCTCCATGGAGAAAAGGGCTAACGTAAATCGTGACTCTTTCAACGTCAATCCCTGAAAAGCGCGCGAGATGGATCTTATACATTTCCGACAGTCCGGGACTTAGCTCGGAACGTTCGATTTCGGGGTATCCCGACTCGGTAGCACCCGGAAATCGATAACCACTCGCCGAATCGACGGCGAGAGATCCACTGCTTGCAGCCGTCGACGATTTATCGGCGTCCCGTATGATTCCTGCGGTGAGGTGTGCGAGCATTCCCGGCAGCTACACGTTAATGCCGCTCGTTGCATAATGTTTATGAATGGTTTTAGCGGCGTATGCTTGCCTCCTGCCACAAATCGCAATTATCCAAGCAGAGATGAAGAAAAAAGGCAAAAAAATTGGAAATATCACTTAATTGGTACATCGACAATCACGAGCCAATTTATTCTCTTATTAGCTCTCATTAGCCTTGTTATCATTTTCATTTCTTCGAGAAAACAATAAATAATTTGTCGACACTTCTCGCGGCCAATTTGTATCTTCTTTAAATTCTTCTCTTGTAGTTTACACGTGGACGCTGCAATAATTCCTACCGTAACGTCGACGGAAAATTTTTGAGGAAACTTTCTTCGGGGAGGGAAGAATATAAAGGGCAAAATGCTCGGCCATAAATTTCGGCGGTCGTGCACACAGCGTCCGCCGGACAAGTGTCGGTAATAGGCTCCTACAGGTCTTTTTTTTCCCACGGCCAGTTTAGCACCCACTTTATCACGCGAGGTCGTTTCGTTTTGAGTGGATCATTTTGCATCCGACACATAGATGCGCTTAATGACCGACGTTATTACGATCAATCCTCATTGTGTCGGATGTTGTCGGTGGAGCCTAGCAATGGCATAGCGCGCATTATACTTACGCGCGTCTCTCTTTTTTTCTTTCTCTCCCTATCGCCACGTTCCATCGCGACGCGTTTGCATCCTTTTCGTGTGGCAGTTTTGCGCGCTCACGTAGACTAACTCACTGCGAGTCTCACAGCGATTACATCGCATTTGCGACAATCCCATCTTTCTAAATGAGAGCATTGAGCGATCGACTATTCCAAATCACGATTCAGTTCACGAGTTCCCCACAAAGTATGATAATGATATTTACCGCCACATTGTTGTATTTGTTGTTGAAGAAATTTTTCTTGCTTCTTGTAACACAGCGTTATACATATTTGGTTAATAAATTAGCGTATGATAAACAATACCCACTGTCGGGGTGTGCGGCATCAATGTGACATCCATTATGTAGAAAATTTACTCCTATGCATACGCTCGTATACCTGTAATCAGCACGTTGGTAGAAGGTTTTTAATTAGATGCGTGTGCAATGCGCTAGACGAGTGTACATATTCATAACTAATGAATAACGTGAATATTCAAGAATATAAAATTTGAGTGCTTGCGCTCCACTTACGGCCATGTAAATTTGCCATTTCGTTCACAAATTATAAACGCCGCACATCAATCTAGAGTTGACCAATATTGCTGCGATGCGCATTACCGCAATTACGAAATTCCGCGCATCATTGAATTCGCTGTTACGCGAGATTCTTTAGATTTGTTTGTCAAACGGCGCACAATACGACGACCGAGCGAGTCTTTGCGTACGAACAAAGGATAGATTTAAAAATAATAAGAGCAATTTTCTCGAACAACAGATTTCCTATTTACAAGATTAATAATCATACTGCAACTTTATTCTTCTCAATCCTTTTGTAATTGAGAAGATTCGTCTTATTCTAACCCTCCTTATTCCAGACAGGAGAAACGATATTTCATTGGCAATTAAATCGCTCTGATAATAATAAAGGAAATTTGTTATCGCGACTGGGTACGTCGTAAGAAGTTTGCAACACTTACATCTTAAGTGTAAAGCGTGCGCGCGGAACGTAGAAAGTTATTATTAGTTTCACAGGAAGGCGTACTTTCCGGCTTGGAGACGAGCGTAAAATAGCGGGAAACAACGTTATGTCGTTTGCAAAGTTAGTATCGCGCGGGCATGGCGCATACGTAGCACTTTCGCGAACGGAGAGAGAAAATTGCAGAATTTCGATCCATCATTCGTACGTTTCCGTTTCGTTTTTCTCCCGCATTCTCGACGCGGCTCTCGGCCTGCGGCGCGACGGCGGTCTGGCAAAGCCATTAGAATTTACCGTCTCGCGGCTGGTATTATCTGCGACGAAATACGTTATTTTTCGGAGTGAGCTAATGCGTATATACGTTTAGCGGAACATTACCCTCGTTGGCGTGCTCGCGCGCGCGCGGCTGTGGTGTGTCCGCGGATGTTATTTATTGCTTATTCGCTTCACTCTGCACCGTACGGTAAACAGTACGACGAACCTGTAAAGTGATCCTGAATGCACGCGTTATTGCGTCCCGTTCCAACACGCAGTTTGTTCCCCTACACACACACAGAGTCGAGTGTGAGGGAATTGGAAAACTTGACCATTTGCTCCTGATGGAACAACTTTCCCCGTCTATTTATCGGTGCACTTAATTTTTACGGTAATTACCTTATCGACGCCCGTTTGATTAACAAATTAAAAAAAAAACAACAAAAACCAGGAAGTTAAGTCTTCGTGATAGATTTCCATGGTGCGAATCGACGATATTTTCACGTAACCACCCAATTACGCAAATGAAACCTGCTCTTACTACGACAACATTGCTCATTCTCACTTTACGTAATTACTGTTAGTGCACAAACGTACATAGATCCGTGATCGAAACCTACGGATGCCGCTTTGAAAACATTTCAATCTTCTTCTGGTGACCATTAACTCGTCCCGTAACGATCTTATTAAAGCTGAGCTACTCGAAATTGCCACTCATCGCTACTTTGCTACATTGTATAATATTGAAGCAGATAAAATGTTTGTTTCATTTACATGAAAAATATGGTAAAAAATTTGAAAATAATTAATTTCTCCCAAAGAATGACAATAAAAACGCATCAGCAGGTGCAAAATTTCACACATCTATCAGAGTGCAGTTGTACGGATAATTTTGAAGAGTCGTGCAAAAGTAACAGAGACGTGAATGTAATAGAAGCATGTAGAGTTACATTTGGACGTTTTACGGTAAACTTAAGCATTGTGAAGAGGAGAGTCGGAAGACAGGATAGGATCGGCCTTCGTAAGCTTCGGTATCTCATAGAATGGCTTCTATTCGGGCCTCGAGCACTCTCATGACTTCGCTGTGCTGGTAAAGGCTCTCATTGCCACGCATTCCTACCTCCACCGTCGCTGTTGTTGTTCACCCGTATTAAGAGATAGATTTACATGAGTAAACACATTGAGGTCTAGGGTCTCATGTACAAATTGAGATTAGAGCTAAGCCTAGGAATATTTGAATGATTTGAATGCATGTATTAATCAAAGGACTGTACGAGCGTACGTATATTAAAAACTTTCCCGTCTGAAAAGTTATGATTGGAAAAATCGATTACTGATTAGCACTAATTTCAGCAGAAATTACATATGGCACGCGCGTGTGTGTGTGTGTGTGTACACGTTTTAGCTAAAGAATATGTGATTTAACGTCCTTCAAGCTCTTTCAAGCCACGTTATAACAGCGACTACAAAGATTCTACGGCGATTCTACTAACAAGCAACATTCTCTTCAGATGCCGTTAAACTGCGTTTATATTATACGTCAATAAAGAAATAATAAGTCAAAGTTGGAGCCGCGAACAAACGAGTAGATGTAGTAATCAGGTCATCGATTGTCAACCGAATTTATGACGAATACTCAGGCGATAAAACTGGCATCTTATTTTCATGAAAAAGCCATAAGTTGGAGCTTTCACCACGGGTGAAAACATACGGGTGATGATTCTACAAGCGCGCAAAGTACTCTCAAAGTTTATACGCCGCTGCGTTACGGAGAAGTTATGTGCCGAGAGCTCTGGGGAAAATCATATTTCTGCACGTATTCGCTGGCGCTCATGTTGAAGACATCAAAATAATCCCTTTAAACAACGACAGGAGCCATATACCCCCGGGACTGACGTTACACTTATTCTTTCAGACTTCATAAAAGTATGTTACGCTCAAAGTAAAATTTTATTTTACATCGTGATATCCTGTTTCTCGGACTATGCGTCACGTTTCCCAGATTACATTTCAGTGTCGTTCAAAAAGTCTCGTGGGCGCGATAATTTTTTACGAAGCTAGCGAATTCAATAAATGTATTATGACACAGTCGGTGCAGGTGAGCCGTATCATTTGTCGACGTGATTGTCTTGATATTTTCTTCATGGTGGAGCCAAGGAAGTTGCACGTATCAAAGAGGGGACCTCGATTTCACAGTATTTTAGCTCCCACGAATTTATCTCTCGCGCCAAGGAAATACCTTGGGACGCAGCGGCGCAATTTATTGATTAAGAAAGGTGATAAATCGTGTGCATGCAATGTATATACTTACTGGTAGCGCTGACAGCTGGTCCGATGACCGAGTACTTGGGGTTCCCCGTAACGGCTCCTGGGACCTTGTCCGGCTCTGAAACACATTATTGTAATTATCCCTAGAATATACAGTGCCGTTAATTACAACAGGGAGTCGCGTATGCAATGGACCGCAACCAAACTACCTGAGCACAAAGGGTCTACTCGCATGATTCATCGCCTCCTAAATACGTAAAGGTGTTTGTACTCTTCTTCGAGATGAGAATACCGGCACTACTTTAACTGTTATATCGCGCCAAAATAGTGATTGAATTTGCAAAGTCCATCACTCGATAAATGAAAGCGCCTTCATCGATATAATTTAAGTAGAATATCCGATTAAAGCGGGAGTTATCATTTGATAATCAATCTTGCGATACATCTCTTTATCATCTTACTCTATATCAGTTAACGGCAATATCAAAAGATATAGTAATAGCAACGGGTAAATGTATGGAACAATGCCTAGGTACTGGATGGTCTTGGTCGATTATCAAGCAAGCAAAGGTGTTGTATGTGCAGAGGACTGCAAGCTCTTTCCCTCTCTCGGGGTGTTACAGTTTGTTGGAAAGCTTTGCGATCTTCCTTGCCGACCGTTAAAAGCTCCAGTGTTACTGGAAAGCCTCGCGAAAGCTCTGTTTCATGGCGCTTCCATGCTTGTACGTGGCGATGCGTTATGTTGAGCTTTTGAACTTCCGCTTGCTCGCTACAATATTGACCGAGTTCATATAAACTGCCATATTACAATATAATATCGTAAACTAAATTTCATAACTGTTTCTTCCCAAATTTGTAAACAAAATTTTTCCATTAATAATTTTAACCGATATAGTTATCTCTATTGTAAAAACGCGAGCATATTGGAGTTAAAACACAGAGTAATAAAAGACACGAGAAAAAAAATTCTTCTCACGACATTAAATGATGAAATGGGATTATTTAAAAAGTATAAAGTTCAACATTCACGTGTGCGTTGGTTTTTCTTAACGGCAGGAAATTATCGCACTCGATGGAAAAGATGGACAATCTGAATAAAATCTGGATAGCGAAATCCAACGATGTTTGCCAGTTGGCAGCATTGAGGTAATGGATAATTTAATGGATCGTCTCGTAGGTAGGAACTCACCTGGGAGGAAGCCCACCGCCCCAATAGCCGCCGCGGTCTTACACATCGTAAGATGTGACGGAAGAAAGAGCAACGGGGGCGGTGGCGGGATAGAGGGATGGTTGGAAGGATGGATTTCCGTGATGCCGACAAGTAATCGTCGTTCGTTACCGACCAGGATGCGGCGCATCGTCCAATGGTTGGAACTGGAACATCGCCTTGAAGCCCTGGCCCGGCCACTCGGAATTAGCGACGAACTCGATGTAGAGGTCTGGTCCCGTGCTGAGTACCTCCACTTCCGCTCCTTGGTTGCAGAGTACGGCTATTGTGGGCGCTCCTGAATCCGTTCCGTCGTGCACCCTGATTAAATCCGCCCTATTCAGGCAACTGTAACAGGATGTGCTTTTCGTTAGAAGACGGAAACTTATCGGTACGTTACCTTCACAGCTGCGAGCAATCGGCTCTGAGAAGCTAAAAGAGTAATTTTTATCTCAATTTTTGCTTGCGCTTTTAAGAAACAACAAGTGTCCACTGATAAAATCTGTTTCTGATTAATTTTCTCGCCTTAATGCTATCTCTGGAATCAGAGCTACCCACGGGTCTTACTTTGTAAAGAGTTTGCCTCCATAAAGATTTAGATCGGAATGGGATGCGCGAATAAAGGAGAGGGTCTTCGAGATACTTGACAACGAAGGTATGTTAAGTCCGCTTTGAGTACTGCAACTCGTCTAGATAACGCGCGCAGGAAGGAGCGAAAGGACGGAAGACAAAGGGGACGAGAGGCAGGATAAAGCGAGACAGTGAGGTTAAAGGTGAAACGGTAAAGAGTGTACAGTGACAAAGGGTTGCGTCGTCGGCGGGACGCGCGGTGGGCGGCAGGCCAAGGAGAGAATCTCGACGACCGGTGCGATTCGTTTTATATGTGTACGCCAGCTACTTTGCTCGATAGAATCGAAAAAGAGCATTACACTCGCTCGTGCCTTGCGATTCGCGCGTGCCAACATCGACTGGATTGCACTCCGATCCTATTGATTTAAAAGCTTGATAGATGATGGCCGATGAAATAAGCTTATTACTTGCACGGGTTAAGCAATTACGCTGGCAGAGAAAGATTATCGTCGGAGGAGCCGGAGGAGATTAAAGAGCCCTTGTTTCTCACCTCCTCCCCCTCGTCCATAAACTTTACACGTGCGACTTTTCATCTCGCTTGTACGCGACAAGGCAGACAATGTCGTTCTTCGTCGATGCAGTACGTTGCACGCTATTTTTTTCTATCTGCCACGAGTTTTGCGCAAAAGTATAGAATTATTTCCAATTCAATCGCGACAAATAAATGCGTTTGTGCGAATAAACGCAAATCAGATCTGTTTCAAACAGTTAAATTGAAAAGTTTGACCATAAAGTTAGTGGCGCGCGTAAGTGAACTCAACGCGCCAAGGTAAGCAAATCCGTCTATCAAAGTTAATCTAGCGTGGCATCGCACGCCCGGAGTGTGTACACGAAATTCTTCAAGTGTCCAACAAGATTTAGTTCGGGGCCATCACCGACTTCGATCCGCTCTCGTCCATTTTATTTGTATTCCGTCTACTGTGTCTCAGTGGCTATTCCATGAATATCGTTAGAATAGCGTTTACCTTTGGAAATTTGAATTCAGACGGTACGAGCACATTGAAATATCGAAGAAGATAAAGGAAAGAAAAAACTTTCTTATTTTTTTCTTAAATTTTGCAAGTCTTATCGCGTATATAATGAGAAATTATTCATACTCACACCACTCATCTCTGTGAAGGTATTATTCATACTGTCGATATTATCGATGGCCCCCGAACTATATAACTTTACATCGGCGAGCGCGATTGGCATATGTGCGTGCTATATAAGTGTGCATTCTCGGATAGAGCAAAAGTGTATCGAGTGCTGGATGGAAGAGTCTCCCCGGTATCCATCAGCACCATTCACGATAATATCCGAGTGCGTCTGACGGAGCGGCTTAACGTTGATATATGACGGCATTTCTCAGCTCTTACCCGAGCTCTTACAGATTTTTACCACCAGTCTTGGGAAAAGTGCCATCGGCCACATAAATTAACGCTATTGATCGCAGATTTGTCGATCGTATTTCGCGTATCGCCTTTCACCTCGGCTGATCGGCTTCTTCCTCGCGCTTTAAATTTATACGTATTGTTATTATAATATTCGGTATAATATTTTATCAAATAATTCCTTTCTACAGATGGATGTTCTATGAAAGCACGTTATCCAGCAAAATTTGGTTCAGCAATTTCTAAAAATACAAGATATAAAGATATTTTTTCTCGCTGATTAATTTTGTTTATTATTGCGTTGTTTATTATTGTATGTTTGTTATTGTATTATATATATATATGTGTATATATATTTTCGTTTGTTAAAAATTTCACGTTTTTTTAAAAAAGTAATTAACGGTATGTATAAAGTTTTGATAAAATTTATTCAAATAAACATTCAATTATAACGATGTATGATCGATTTTCTATATAATAAACGCGAACAATGAACAATTGAAGATCGATAATGTTTAGCGAGGTAATCGTACCCTCCTTTGATTTGATGTGTTACGGTGAAAGCATTCATCCACCACAATTTCCTACCGCCTCGTATAAATTACATCAAGCGTAAAGAGCTTGAATATTTGGTCCATTCATCTCGCTATGTTGCTGAATCTATTCGTAAAAGATACGAATGTATTTTTAATTTTTACATTCGAGGGTCGGGGATATTTTATCTTTATCCACAAGAGATTCGATAATATTCCTGGTAAGCAGATATCGCGTCTTTATCACGGATGAAAGGGATTGATCGCGTGGATTATTTGAAAAGTGAATATCCGCGCATATTCGAATACGGATAAATTATGTAGCACTGCGTGAACTAATATTTGAAAGTCACAAATTTTCTCGTGAAGGTAATGGTCGGTTTTTGCCGCATTGGCACCGAATTGCTCGTGAATCACTATGCTACGGGCTATAGCCAGACCCCGATAGAACGCGCGAAACAGAATATAGAGTGAAGTTTAAATGAGGTTCGGTAGTTTGATAGCCACAAAATAAAACTACGCTACGAAATAAAGCAGACAACTGAAAAGTTTCAATAATAACACGCGTTTAAAAAATATATTTATTTCTGTGAAATGTTGAAAAAGATTCCGCGAGAGATCGATGTAACGAGAAATAACATTACATTTTATTGAAGACTCGAGCGCGTGTACAAAAACTGATTACGTTCATGATGATATTTCCTTTCCATTTTCAACTATGCTGCTTTCATACTGAGACTTGCGTAATAGCATAATGTGATTTGAAAATTGCTTATTATTCGTATCTCGTTGCGCCCGCTGTGAAAATTACATTTTCTCTCGTATTATTCGCGCTGACCCCAAATTGTATACAATTTTCTAAATCGTCGTTTCTTATACGCGTTTGCAAAACAATATTCTATTTGCAAGAATGCACGCCAAAATTATTTTCAAACAAAATCTACTTTGTTGAATTATTCTGAAACAATTGTAGAATTCACGCGCCAAACAATTTTACTCGCCACAATAATAGATCCAAATGCCAAAATTTCTCGCTTGACGTTTTATTTCGCATAGTTCAGCATTTTTTGCAAAGTTTTCAATCGCGGAAAATCGTCGATTCTGATTTTGCAGTTCGAAGCTAAAAGGTCACTGACGGAATGAAATTAAGGGAGCTCAATACTGAATTAGGACGGAGTTGGAGGATTTATCAAGGATTAACTCCTGCACGCTGCAACTGCAAGTCCCCAGGCGCCTCTCGTTTCCCCAAGTCGACCTCGCCATCACCATTCTCAGCTCTAAGTCTTCGCGCAGAGAGGAACTTTATGTGGGTTAAGTAGAATCATGGTCCGCGCCGTGTTCAAAGGGTTTAGAGGTCAGATGTGGTCGGCGCATACTTTGCGATTTAAAAAGAAAGGATTTCCGTAAAAGTGCTATTACTGTCAAATTGAGATCGCGTTGTGGCAAAGTTAATTACGAGAAGCGGCGAAATTCGTGCGTTAATCTCGCGCAGCTCACTTTAAATCCTTAACAAAGACCGATAGAGGAACGCGGTTCGGTAGAATTCGTCGTAAATATCTCGGCAAGATATTCGTTGCGCTCGCAGCCGGAATATGAAGTTTACCGAGCTACAAATAAGAAACACGAAAGAGAAAGAGAGAAAGGGAGATCTCGACGTGAAATACGGCTCGTGCAAAATATATAGGAGTTGTTGGAAAAATTATTCCACATTTCAGCGCGTACACGCAAAGTCTAGGCTTGTCGCGTTCGCAATGGCACTAACCAAGGGAAATCGAAGAGACAGAGGAGAATCTATGGTCGCCAGCTCGAAAGGATCGGTAGTCGAGCTCTCAGTATTACTGCTTGGCAGATTTATGTCGGTAATATCTGAAGCATTAGCCATTTGACGTATTGGCGATCGTAAAATTTGGAGTCGCGCACAGGGTGAAGCTATCTCTCATTCATGAACTGATAATACATCAGATTCAGCATCGCTTCCGGCCGGCGAATGCGGAGTGTGCCACGGTGATTTGCATGCCGTAAGTACATCGGAACATCAGCACCGCGTACTCCAAGTACTCTAGCGTAGTACCGATCGCTCGCGGAAGAGACCTTCAGCTCATGAACGTTCCTCGCGCCAGTGCAACGAGATATATCTAACGACCGCATGATTATTCTCGGCACGCACGCGGAGCGCTCATAAAACGTAGCAAGTTCAATACGTACAGCAGCGTTCAAATTACAACGAGCTCCGTCTATCGATCGATCGTTCGCCGGCTCGCTCGTCGGTCAACGCCGCCGGAAAACACTACGCAAACAAGCCTATCTCTTCTCCGGATATTACCTGTTTTATTGAAATTTTCAATTAATATACATTTATACTTAAATATTATTCTCCCCAAATATACATAGCCCTTTTTTTTATCCATACACATTTCTCCCACGTTTCTCGATATACAATAATGTAGCTGTAATCACGGTTTTGACAGTGCGACGACGCATTTTCCACTAGTAATGTGAAAAAAAGACTTCATTGCGAATTTAATTGGCATAAATCTTGAACAATGTTAAAAATATTAAAACATTGAAAAATATTCGAGTATTAAAAAACAACAATATTATTCAAAGAAAGAAACTTCTCTTCCATTTTACACTTATATCACAAATGCTGGAAATCTGTATTTCTTCAGTTTGTAAAATCGACGCCCATGACACGTAACGACGCGCAGCGCGACCCTCATTTATCGTTGTCGTTCCGGCCGTTTTCTACTCTTCTTCCTCAAATATATGGCTGACATTACCTGTGTTCTACGATATACTTGGAAGAGTACACGCATTAAAGAAGATGCCGGAAAGGGAGAATCGCCCTATAAAGAAAGGAGCGAGAGAGAGAGACATCGAACGGTAGAAAGGATCCTCCTATGGAGTTTCTCGCACAATTGTTCGCCAACTGCGCGAGTCAGCTTCAGGAAGACTATATCAACGCTTACATCACTGCGCCCCCATTCGCTATTACCGCTTCTCGGCAAACATTCAAACGAGTTCGTTTGATTAGTTTAATGGTTCGTTTGGCTTCGACGCCTCCCGAGTGTTGGAATCTCTATCTCGTGCCACCTCGACCCGAATGTTTTACCTAGTCGTGCCAATCGACGCCGATTATCTATTCGTGTCACCGTCTGACCGATAAAATCCCCAGATAGCGCGGACTAACTTTTACGATTGCCGCAAGTGCAAGGAGATTTTACTCCGAAATTAACTCGGGACGCACCCGAAGGATTTGATTTTCCGTGAGGCACGCTAGAAGGAACGACAATGAATCGGATAATCGGCCTCGCACCGACGCATGTTTTCGCCAGTTAATTATAGACGTCAATTTACGGGATTGGATTTAAGAGCCGCGTAAATGTAGAAAATTAAGACCGAAATGACTTTATCGCGCGCATAAATCGCTATTGCGTGCTTAATCCATCTGCCGGCTATTACTCCCGTTGTGCCGACTGACGCGTATATTGTTTGAGCTGTTGTAGCAAGTAGTACACGAGGTACATTGTACATCGAGAAAGAAAGTTTTAAATAGAAAAGTTTCGACAGTACCCTCGCGATTCTCATGTTCGTTACCGCGTCTCGTTAACTCTTAAACGTTAATAATCGACAACCATCGTAATTCACAATTAGCGTAACGGAGGTCCCGTGTCTGGCGGTGTTTTTAAAATTTACCACATACTCCGGAAAAGCGAAACATGCGAAAGCTTCATGGGTCGTGAGAAAAGTGCCTCGTGATTAAGTTGTTAAAAGCGGAAAAGCGGAAATGGCAACGTGCGGTTCCGTGCTACAGATACATAGTTCGGTGCTACGGATAAATAATAGAAAGGCATTTGCTTCTGTATCACCAACACACACGCACACTCTCGAATTTTCTCCCACAACCGACTTCGATAATTACTCGCCGTTATGTTAGACAAAAACCGATTAATGTTCACTTTCAATGTTACAAAAATATTAAAATCTTTATTTTATCTTATTTACATATATCTCTTTATATTCAATCTCGTTAAAACTCGAGAAAGCTTATAAAGTTAGCAATACGTGTTTATTTTTTTATCTCTTCTTAAATAATTATTTTTAAACTAATTTATATATTTTATATTGTCGCATCGAGAAACAAGAATATACTTGAAATCTCAGATCAACGCTGAAATAAAATCGTGACTACGCTAGCGAAACTAATAAAACTTGTTATCAAAATTGTGAAAACGTATCTATCGGCAATAACGGTTGAATACCACCGCAATTCCAAGTTGAATTCCATTTTTTATAAAATTGCACGAACGAATGTTACATTCTTAGTAAAAAACGTGAGTATACTCGTATAGTTGTGCACAAACGCGTTTTAAAGTTTTTAACAACCGTGCGGCTTTCATTTCGTGCTTTGCTCGAGTTGTGGAGTTATTGGTTCGGAAAGTACAATGAGAGTTGAAGAAATTATCGGAATGGTCGCAATATATATGGTCCTGAGTACATATGAAATCGTATAATTAAATTGATATGACAATACTAAAAACTAATAAAATAAACAAATAATTGAAAAGTGTGTTTTGAAAAATATTATTGAGTAAAAGTGAAATCATCCAAGAATTCACAATATTTGAGCGTTATTTATCATATTGATGGAGGGCTATTCGAACGTGTCCGTGTTCCATTTACATTCATTCAGGCATCTCTCTCGCGGTTTCGGTTACGCGCTGTTTTCAACGCGCCGCACGGGCGACGGTCGTTTTAAAGTTTTAAATCGATGGATCGCACCAATGCCATCCCTACCAGCCGACGGAGCTTAATGGCACATCTTTTACGTAGACGAGGCAGCTCTGGTCATACTTTGTGAATTCGCGACTTTGATCCCTCCCCGCTAAATTTCCCCCGCTTTTTCTCTTTCGCAACTTGTGGAACTCAATTTCTATCTGGAATATGCGAGGAACGTACGGCAAACTTTTTCCCACGGATGCGCCGAACGTGCGCTCTCGCAAATCTATCAACTTTGAGATGCGCCGGAAGGAAAAATTTGTAAACCATTTATGACGGAACCAAGTTTCGAAACGGCGCATTTGGTGGATACGTCAGGTGGCCGATACGATTTCTAATTTCTGTTACGTGATGTTTATTCGCTACTATTTCGTTATACGTTTACTTCGAGTTTGCTTTGTATGTTGTCGATGAACTAGAAGTACAAATGTGATCAATACTTGCCTCAGGTCTCCTTTTTGCAGAGAGATCTCCTCGAAAACCAAACGGATTCTCTCCTTCACTCTGAAACAGGATTAACCAAGTTATTCTGCATGCGTTTTCTTAAATAGACACATTATTGTACATTATAATACCACTTGCTGCTGCGCGAAGGCTATTTTAAATGTCATACAACTCGTGATATTAAAGCCTGCATTTTTATGAATGCGGAAATATTACATACATTTTTCGTCCAAGCGGTATTGCGCGCGGTGGTTCGTGCGCGCGCGGTTTATCCTGTACCTCGCGGTACTAATGAAACAAGATGGGCAAGAGCAGTAATTAATTTCATTATAAGCGCACCTAGCGTATGAATTTGTTAAAACGGCGCTAGCCACGTCGACGACGTGAACATAGCGAGACCAAATCTCTTTGCGAAAAAAAATTTTTGGCTAAACTGTAAAAAGTATCTTCATCGCGAAAGCGATTTGTAAAAGAAATTTGTGCCGTGAGAAAGCAAACCCGAAATTTATTTGCTTTCTTCTATTTCTCATTGTTGTCTTCTTTCCCCCCTCACTTTCTTGTCTCTTCCTTGTACGTACGGCTGATCGTTGAGAGACTCGTGATTGCTACGTGACAAAGGCGCACTATCGAGTACATTAATACAGAGCGAGTGTCATGAATGCCTAGTGGATAGACTGCATACGCATGTATATATACGTATACATATCCGTCGGCTTTATAGCGGCTGGCATAGCGGCCAGCGTTGCATTGACATAACCGTTAGACATATAGGGCTGCGCACGCTACTTTGATACAATTACTGCAATTAAGCAGCAACCTACAATACTACGGAAATCACATCCGCGCATACTGGCTCGGCGCCGCCATTAAATTCATCGCGATTGAGCGACATTCCGACTCGGCTCCGTTAACTATTTCCTTTGATCGCTATACATGGATCAGGCATCTACCGAATTCGATGAACCGTGCAGCAGCAGTTGAAAGGTAACATGAGTTATGTTGTTTAGATATAGCGTAAAACTAGAAATCCTACTATATCATGCAGATCTAGTGTCGTATGGATGGGTAAACTAGAAAAACTAGAAATCGACGAAGAGAAAAAAATAAATAAATATCTCTTTCTCAACGCATGCTTTGCAAATTAATATTATACAGCTTGTTAACGTTTTGTCTCACTAACACCGACCCGAATGGGTCACATTTTCGCGCGCAAATCCCAGTAAAATTGAACAAGTGGCCTCGATGCTGCTTCGCAGAGCCGGCTAGAGAAAATAGTAGCGCGCTTCCTGCGAGAGATCATGCCAAGAACTTGCTGCTTTTTCCTCTTTAGCCAGGCAAGCGCACGGGTGCGGCGCGCTTTTATGTTGCTATATTGCGAAACGGCTCACGACAGAGCGGACGTGAACTTTCGGCGACCGCTTAACAAGGAGCCGAGATGAGAAACGACGAAAGTTGCGTTTCGGGCAGGAAGCCGGAAAATTTCTGATGACGGGAGAAACGCGGTGGTGTCGAAATTCAGTGTGAATTAGTATCCGAAACGAGTATCCGAACTTTTGGGGGCTTGTGCAAAATGAAATATCTTTTTAACGCGCCGTTGTCGCGTTCGCGAGAACGTCCAGTTCGAGAGATGATTGAACGTCCTCCGATACGTTAGATTAGGTGTTAATTAACTGTGCAGCGGGATTACGGACTGTCATCATTAGATGCGCCAAGACGGTAGATATATGGCGACGACGGAGATTAGCCGCGTGCGGAGATGCATTATATATGGATTAGGCCCCCCGGAACAACGGCGCGCGGGCTCACGAGTAGGAGGTCAGATTAGTTACCTTGCCCGGAAGAGGTAGGTGCACCGGATGCTCTTCGGATAGGAGGACGGGTACCGCGGCGAGTAGAATCGTCCGTATTGAGGCGATTGCAAACTGACGAATTTGTGGTCGCACATCGTGCCGGGCACCAACCGACCGTTCGTCTCGAATAAGCCTGAAACAGAAAGATGATCATGTTACGATATCGTCGATTTTACGATACGCTCACTCATATCTCGTACAAAAACTTCTATTCTAGTCAAATCTTTCTAGCCAATATCGTAATAAATCTCTCTTTTTCCGCTATTTTGACAAATTTATTGATAAACATCGTAATATACAGAGCAAATCCTATTTGAAATCTGTCTCTCGCGAAAATAGAAATCGAGATGAAATAAAATTAACGATCGTCCATCGCGTCCTTAGAGCGTGCAAATATACCTGCAGATATCCGTTACGTATTGATTAACTAGTCGCGCGTCTCACACTCCTTTTAAAGGCGTCGCCACGGTAGAATGATTCAGTTTATAACTGAGTATCGTTATTCGCTTACTGTTAACAAAAACGTGTAACGGTGCAACGCATCGGACCGAAGTTAATCTTAATTCTTTTTTCCTCGTTTGCGCAGACACCCACTTCGTTAGTTTCTGCAGAGTGGCTATGCGATTTTAAACTAAAGCTGGATAGTAACAGTTTTTTACGCGAGATATTTATACGTGGGTGTGTAATAGCAATTTCGATCTATATGCGGGATTATGTACAATATCTCAAATACTCGAATTAGCGCGATAACGATATTGATAGGGAGAATCTGGCGACGACCGATTTTGTTAAAAGCACGGGAAATTATCACCGTTCGTGTATATACAAAAAAAACGTGAAGCTCATAGGCGTTTTTAAATTCCACGATTTCAACCAGGGGTACGCACGGGCAATTACATCGCTGGCTTGCGCAATTCAAAAAAATTGCTCGGAATCGTTCTTTTATCTTTGAAACAAAGGCGGGAGAAAAAAGCGGCAGTTTCCGGTAGGTCAAAAAAACGAACAAGAGATTGGAGGAAGTCGCCATCTCTATGCCGCTAAAGAGATTCCATGAGAAAAATGTCGAATTCCAGAACGAATTAATCCTTAACACGCCCATCGGTAAAGGTCCATTGTAAGTAATGCGAATAATAGTTGAGAAGATCGAAGAGGTTTGCATTGTACTCGATCAATTATCTTGATAAATGGAGGCTCTGTCGAGCTTTATATAATATTGAAAGAACGTAATTAGATTACGAAATAATGATCTGCCGATCTTCCGAATATATTCTCGACACTTGAGCCTAAGAATAATCTTGAAAAAAAATAACAATAAATTAACACCTATTAAAATATCTGTATATTCTAGATGTAGTAATTTATGCAATTTATATAATGAATGTAGTGGTATAATTTGAATGGCGTAATGAATGTAAATATGCACTTTCGTGATAATTAAAATTTTTGGCTGTTGTAAATATTTGAATGTGGCTCATATTTTATCTTTTATAGTCCTCTGATTTTACAGTAATAAAATGATATTATGTATCGCCGAAACTGCAGAGAGATACTCCTCTCGACATTATAAATCACAAAGAATTAAATGGTATTATTTTTTAATTTAATTAAAATTAGTGCAATTTTTGCATAAAATAAAGCGGCTTAAGTCAATCAAAAGCGCGATTTTCCGAGGTCGCGCAATTTTCATCATCGTATTGCCGTTCTTCGAGTGCACAGTGGAACACAAATGTAAGATAAAAGTCATCGGACAACTCCAGCTGTTCTGTGTGTGTTTGTGTGTGTTGTGACTACAGAAAATATTATTTATATTATTTTTTCGCGTTTCCAATTTGAATACGAAAAAGCATGTCAAAGGCGAGTAAAAAGAAACCTGAATTACAAGAAAATAATATTTCATTTGATATTCAATTCGTACATTTCATTAACCTGTGCTGATAGTTTTATAATATCCGTTCTCTCAATAATGACAAATCTGAAAAAGTATAAAAGTTGGTTTTTGTTTCACGGAAAAGTGGCGCGTTACTTTCTTTTTTTCACTCGTAAATTAGAACCTTTGATTAATTTTGTTCAGTCCTTAAATACACTTTTCTCTCCGTGTTCTCGTCTTCCTTCTTTTCTCCTCAGGGTCTGGACGAACTATTCCAAGTTTAACATCGGTGTGATTCCAAGTTAGGACTGTGTGGTCGAATTCACACACATTCATGCGTATAACGGCAACCTATCTCTCACGGGGGAATCGTACGTGTGCCGGACGTTAGATATCGTCTTGCTATTTGACGTCACGTTGCGGCTTGTGAGAAAAGTATAGTTTACGTGGGAAATAAAGATTAAAAAGAGAAGCCAAGCTCGTTCGATTTTTCACAAAATCTAAGACAGAGAGAATTGATAAAATGAAAAAGCAAACAATGTACATCAAGGATTTCGCACTTCCAAAGAGAACTGTTTTTCACTTTCCACTCGAGTTTATTTTTCAGCCGCGTGTCTTTTCCACGAAATACATTCAATTAACAGTAAAACAATACATATTAATTTTGTTTTATTCTGTATTTACAATTTACAGCTTTCTTTGGGCCAAATTCATGAACGGCACGGAGTGCACGGTATGTTCTTCACGAAAATGGTACGTGTACAGCACGCTTGATGACGTTGGTCTTCGCTCACAGTGCAGTGTCACGTTGCAGATTGCAAGAACGTTCAGTCTTGTTGCGACGGAAAGCTGAGTATTAGATGCAAGAAGTGCAAGACATCGTTCTCAAGATGATGGATTTCTGTGCTTTTAACGTTAAATTACACCGTTTCTGATAACATTTATCAAAGCATTATTATAATATACTGCGAAAAACTGCAATTATTTCCTATCACTATTTATATGTATAAACCGGAGGTTTTTTATTATGTGCCATTTTTATATTTTTCTTGACGATTCGATAAAAGCTTGCTTTGTTATTTATCGTATCTCATCATCCTAGTGTCAATCTGTCATAGAAGTGATAAGACACTTGTCACGCGCCGTTGAAATTAACGACGTGATTTCTCGTTGCCTATGTGTTTAATGCGCGCTACAATCTCTCGACATTGATTCATTTCAAATTTTTGCGTTATCGGGAAAAACCGTGCATACGCTTGAATTATGAAACAACTCCATTGGGATACCAGTCCCAATTACTAGTCTAACGGTGAGCCAAAACTCTCTCAAAATCATAGCTCACGTTGGCCTGGAATTACGATTATGCATTTTCAAAACATCACGGCGTAATGCATGTTTAATTTTCCAACGTTTTCTTTTAATCATTGTAATTTTTATCACGTATTACAACATACAGAGTTATGTTTATTACTGCGCTGTAAAATAACACATTTTTACAAAAAGATATTTGCACAAATTATAAAATTTATGAAATTATAAGATTAATTTTTATCTGTACTCATTTCATATCATGACCAACATCACACTTTTTACGCAACTACGCATCGCCTGCATTGAAATGTTTCTTCCAATTAATGAAACTCGTGCAAAAATGATGAATTAAAATCTCTACAAAAGTGTATCACACCGATATTGGTATCGTCAATTTCCAATTTCCATATAACGTACTTTTATTTCTCGCGCGTGCACACACTGCGCACTTTCGTAGGTGAAACGGCGTACCGACAGATCTTATCTGAATATTTTATAGACCAACCCGGAGGTGACGGGTACAGCTCGGTGTCGATGCATAAAATTTCGCATCACATTCTCGGTCATTCACAACTAGAATGGAAGATGTGAATAGAAAGAAAAAAAAATCGTATTCCCGGCGACGATGTTACGTCTCAACGCGTTTAGGAGTTAAGAAATTTGCTTGAATCGTTGAAGTTTGCGTCGTGTTTGGAGCTTGCAATGTGTTTCGATTGACAGCCATTCACTGTAATAATACAATATTTTTGCATAATTTATTTGTATTTGTTTAAACAATGCTACCACGAGACGACGAACTCAATGAGAAATCGCGAGAAATTGATGTTATGATACTGTAATAAAAAACAACTAATATTCTGTCCTTCTTTAAACAAATATAAATAAAGAAATGTGATGCAAAATTGATGGAAAACCCTAATAAAAGAGTATGTCGGTGAGTTAAAAATGTCTAAACATATAAAGTTACAGTTAGTTTCAACTTAAAGCATGCATGTCGCGTCTGTGTATTCTAGAAAATTGGTACAACAGTGTTATTGTATTTCCGATCGCTCGTATACATGATTTATGATTTATGATGATTTACATTTTACAAATAAATATATTGTAGCGGCAATTGATAAATTGCATGACATTAATACTTTAACAGGAAGTTACAGGACTAATAATCTTGTAGTTCAACTTGTGACAGATTGTAAACGAAGTTGGGGCTTATGGACTTAAACTTGTCCTTTTAAAAGGCTTAAGTTCATGAATGAAGGAGTATGAAGAGAGACTGGGCAGATAGCATTCTATTGACGGTCGAGTGCAAAAGGGATCAATAGTTCGCGTTCATTTTCACTGCAGGCGCACCGAAGATCGTGTATAGCATTTTACATTGGCGTCTTACAGCCAGCCAGTTTCTTGGCGTAATTCTCTTTGGTCTCGTCTTAGCGTACCGCCTTCTTGATTTCTTTATGGGCATGTGAAATCTTCCGCGAACGCAGAGTCACTGCGCGCAAGAAGGTACATACTATACAATACATAAAGTACACACAAACCAAACCGAGAAAACATGAGAAGATGCACTTTCATGGCACAGCTGTAGCAACATCGTGAAATCTTGAGATTCATCGCGAGTTTCCTGCGAGGAAAATTACAGAGTATTCATCGCAACCGCTAATTCCGCTTACGCGAGACTATAACGCTGAGCACTTTTTAGAAATCTTAAACATTTTGCTTAAATTGTACAAGAATGAAGAAATGCGACATTTTAAAAGCTCTCTGTAAATAATTTTACAAACGCAAACAACTCTTGCGCAACAAACGATACTTCCATTTGCAAAAATCTTTCGGAAACCTCTCCGATGTCCTTAAGAAGGTAATTCGGTAATTAGATAATGGCCGTATACAGAATGTTGTCCAATTTGTTGCGAGATTCGTGGATTTATAAAACAATAACTAAAAGAAAAAAATAA